AGCAGGAAAGACCTCTAGCACTGTAAACTCTCTGATGCAAGACTTATTTTTTATCTACCACTGTTATTATCATGATTATTGGGCCTATCAAGATTTTTGCACAGTGAAACTCATACATTTTTCCCCCACGTCATGTTCTCTGTCACCTGTCTTGTCTCTTCTATAAACATACTCTGGCATTTTGGTCTGCCTGGCTTTGTGGTGCAAGCTGAAAGGAGCCCAAGAGCAGTGTCAGAAGATGGTTTCTGCAAGGGCCGTCGACTGCAGTTGTCCTACACTTCTCATGCGTAAAGCAGGCAGGCACACAAACGTGCACAGATGCCTGAACATAACCAGCATGGGCATACTCTTCAGAAAGTATTTTCTAATGCAAAGGGACATGTTTGAAAGGAAATGTTCTTGTCTTCTGTCAGAATTACTACAGATTGATCACAATAAGAAGTTATGTCTTCTGTTATTTGTAAAACAGAAAAAAAAATTACAAAGTTGAAGCTTCTGCGGTCAAAAACTATCTTGTGTTAACAACTTATTTTACATACAAAACATATGTTACATATGTATCAAATTTGTTGATTAGAAGAAAAGACTCAGCAAACACAAGCTTTGTCTGCCCTGTCAAGATCCTCATTGCCTGGATTATAAAACTTTAGTTGCTGAATTGTGGAATGAAGCAAGCAATAAGCTTCTTAAACTAGCTCTGCAATGGATTTGGGTCTGTAATGCACCATGAAAAATTATGGCCTGTACAAGATAACTGGTTTTGCACTTTCCCTGAAGAAGATCCACTACTATTAAGAATAATTAAATTTCATCACAATTTTCAAAATCAGAATGTATTAAAACATTGGTGCGATGCATTGCTCTAGTAAAAGACCCTGAACGACTACATATTTCACTTAAAAACTGGCATCTGCAATATTTCTGTTGTAATAACTATGTGGCTGTAATGCTTTATTTTGAACAATGTTAATAATAATAATAGTTTATCTTAAATTACTTATGTGAAAAATAGAAATATTATCTTTACAAAATGATGTACATTTTACATTATATTGTTACTTCACAAGAAAATTCTTACCAGCTCTGAATATTTCCGTCCTACCTTAAAGAGCACAGTCTCATAATGATGCGCTTCTTCCTCGAGTCGAACTTAACCACATCCTTACAACAGAGAATTTTTCTTCTGTTGATCAGCTCTAACTTCCTGGTTACAGGCAACAGGCCTACAGAAACGTCTTTTTTATTGGCAAGGTTGTTTGCTATATGCATGACACCATGCCCGTGGTCTTCAGTCACCATGATCACAGCATAACTTGCATTACAAGCACTCAACTTGATGCTTTAAGATTTTTTTTGTTAAACTGACCACGTTTAAAAGTTCACTGGTTAAATGATTCTGTAAAGTACGAGACATCGCAGGTTGGATTTCAAAGAGACGAGTTTTTGTTGTTTTGAGATTTGAATGTCTTACTGGCCTGTAACACCAGTGAGAAAATGTTGCCCTTTAATCCAGGATCTTGACGTTAACTGCCATTAAGTCTTTCAGAAAGTTACTCAGTTTATTTTAGACCGTGGGAGAAGGGGGGAAAAAGCCTTACTATCTTAGGCAGATCCTTCCCATTGCTCACAAAAGTGCTTGTTTTCTGTGTAAAACCTGTCTTTACATTTCAGTTCTTATTTTTCTGTTACACCTGTCTTTGCCCCTTGGTATTCCTAATCAGACTGTAGACAGATGCATTCCTTATAAATACGTCACACACTAAACTGATAGTCTGCACCCTCCCTGCCCTGTATCATTGTCTCATAGTTAAAATTCTAACCAATTTTGTTAGCATTATAGTTGGCTAAGCTTGTTAAACATTGGGATTAGCTGAACTTTAGATGTAGGGTCCTGCATATGAGCATTTTGTTGTGTACTTGGCCAGACGGGTGGCCTTGGGGATGTTTCTTTACAAGCGTCGCGGATGATTAGTTGAGGAACTTCTGAGACGTTCTCACAGATAATAAGGATTCTATCCTTGAATCTGTAGTGAAAGAACTCCTAATCGTGGAAAGCAAGTATTGTTATTGTTCTTGAAGTGAAACATCCTGGAGCGTACAAGCATACAGACCCTGGGAATGCTACTAATTTACATGTTTTGAAACTTGGCAGAAAAGGGAAAATTCCGAGTGTCCTAAACCGAACCACCTTCACGATAATACTAAAAATCCCACCCACAGGTCAAGGAGACCCTGGCCCAGGGGGACACCTCTCCCCTGAGCAGACGTCGTAGCTGTAACTTGATTGTGCAACCGTATGTAAGTTACTAACCAATCCAACAGAGACAGGAGGCACTCATATGACAACCATATTGTAAAACGTGTACATAAACCGCACGGAGAGTCCTGCTCGGTGTGCGCGATTTGTGGAAAGGAGCCCACCTCGCACCCTGCCCAGAGTGACGCGGTGCCTC